GGTTGACCTCTGACCACCCGTCATCATTCGACTGTACAATACGCACACCCTGCGTCAAGGGGAGCGCAGCGGCGAGGAAAAGGTAGGAACGCATCTTGCTATAGCGAATGACTTGCGAGGGCGTGACAAAAGAGTGTCTCAGAAGATTTCTGAGGACCAACGAAGATACACTTGTAGCCTACCGGAAGATCAAACAACGGATCTCCATGTTTATAAGGTGCTCAAAACCTCCATTCAGTGTATGGGACCTAGTGACCTTGCATGACAAACGCCCAATAGTCGACCCAATTTGATGGGAGCCGAGCGGATGCCAATCGAAGCGACTGCATGATACAAGCAACGGTCCTTGTAAAACGTTGCGGATCCTCGCGCTCTCATTGAGTATTGCGTAGATTGGTGTGGCTATGGAGAGCGGTCTTGGGGCTGTGAGTGGTGGTGTACATCCGAGGCGGCGACAATTGACGGAGGATTCGCGACCAGGGTGACATGGCCGCTCGGCAGGGGCGACTGATGTGGCAACGGCGCCCGATGCATCTTTAGCACGTGCGAATTTCGAAAGCATTCATTCATTGTTGACAAGCACCTGTAATGCTTGGTATATTGAATGTTCTTCACATGGTAATCTGCGTCGTTGCGGAAGTTCACGCCTGCCTGATATGGTTGTAGCATGGGTTGGCAAGCTGCTGAAACTGACTTGGACCAAGCAACACCGGATATGACTTCATGCTCAAAGTAGGGAGTTTCAAAGCTAGCATGTAGCCTGTAAATGTGCGCATAACAAGAATAGACATGGGTGCTGGACATGATATCTTGCTGAGCAGCACTAGGTGCTAAAGCCTTTCCACAGACGAATACAGTTCCTTTATCCTCCTCCAGCTACTTGTCCAGGCACATAGTGCATCGTCCACGCCAAAACTCCTTATTGTCACTACATTCGTCCCGTCTCGCGAGGAATTAATTGATCATGCTGTAGGTGCCCAATCCTCTTCAACCGCACTCTGGTGGGCGCGGGCGGCTCGGGGTACCGATAGACGTGCTCTATCGTCTCGGTTCGGGTATATCGTCTCGAGGAAATTCCCTAGCTATTTGAATATCGCCATTCATACCCGTATCTGTTCAGACCATATGCGCAGGCTTGACAGGTTGTTGGGTATAGTAGTCCGTCGCTGCGCCACCTTGGTATGGTGGAAGATAGTGGTTTTGGAGCTCGACTGGTCCGTTGGTCTGGGAGTGGTATGCGGTGTTCTGCTGATATGGAGCGGCGGTGTCGTACACAGGAGCCTGACCGAAAGGTACAGGGGCTGCCGGATTGTGCGCAGGTGCATACTGACCACGTTGCGCCGCCTTCTTCGCGCGCGAATAACCGACCGCTGAGTAGATGAGGAGGCCAACAAATGTGACACTATACATGATTAGATCATAATTTTTAATCGCTGTCTTTCGGACTTACAAAATGAAGACGCTGAAGCCAATGCCCACAGCACTTGCGCCCCTGGCAATTGACACGAGGTCAAGAATCAAGACACCTGCCCAGAAACCCGTCTGGAAGCAATTCATTGTGAGGAAAGTTCCAGGTTTTAAGCCGTCTCGGAGGAAGAGGACAATCGCGAGTATGTCGATGAGCAGGACGATAACGATGAAGAGCATGAATATGACCACCGTTCTGGCAATTGTTAGCATGTGCTCGACACAATGCGCAAATAGAGCCTTACGCGACAGCTGGCTGGGTAACATCTTTGAGCTCCTTGAGGTGTCGCAATGTCCATGAATATGTTACAATGATGAAGAGCATAAGACATATGCGCACTACCCAGAATGGCACAAGAATGCGCTTCTTCCAAAGTACGGGTTGTTTTGAAGCCATGATGAATAAGAGGTGTCTGTTGCCGTTGCAGGTATGCGAGATTCGGGCGCAAGGGATTAGGATGTGAGGAGACAGTAATGTACTGTTAAAGAATTATGGCGGATGTGCAATTGTTGAGCCAGGATATGGAGGCTATTTCAAGATGGATGCACGGCTGGGAATGCGAATTTCAGGGGGAACAGCCCTGTGAGCGTTGATGAAACGCGATGTGACCCTGTGCTGCGTGCATCTTCATCTCCACACAACCAACAAGTCAAGCAATGATTTGACGAGGTTACGTCATCTTGTGTGCAGGGGATGAGCCAGTCATGTGTGAGTGGTTGTTCTCGTGATTGCTGCCAGTAGCAACTGCTTTCACCGTGTTTCGATTACAATATTGTGTGAAAGAGACTCTTATTTGTGATGGGGACTCTCAGCACGCGCCAGCCGTTATGGATGCGGAGGCGCGTCCGATTTTATTAGTGGAGATGGGGACGCGTGGCTGAAACACAAGTTCGAATGTCTGAGCCTCAGAACGCGGATCAAACTCGCAGGCTCAGGAGGCAAATGGGTATGCAAACAGAGCAAACTAGGGAGATGCATCCAGCCATGTCACATGATTCGGGCTGGCACGAGACCCTTGCACGCGACGAGCTGCCGACGATAAGATAAGCGACGGATACCATGATGGCCAGCACCACGCTCGACGTGTCTACCACTTCACCACCTACAAGCTTGTTGCTGTAGTCCAAAACAAAAAATACTCAGTGTATAAGAGCAGATTCATCGTCAACATGGGTGCTAATCAGTCTCGGCCATCGGATGCAGCTATCAACGAGAAGCTTGTAGAGCGTCTTCAAGCACTTCAGATGAAGGATGATCGCAGGACCAGCGAGAAGGACGGTTTCGTCGTGGTTGGAGACGATGCACGTAGGTAGCTGAGAGCTCCGTTGTAGATACGGCATCTAATTCTGTTAAGCCCCACGGTATACTCCTACCACCAAGCACCAAAGGGACGTATCTGCGACTGCGGTAGAGGGGTGGGAGAAGGAGCTTATGGAGGATCCAAAGGTATGCGGCCAGAATATACGGAGTGTTGTATTCTAGTCATGACGTCTGACTTGAACAGAATCGCCTTGCGCTCGCAGCCCTCAGCTCCAACTCCGCCAACGCTGTCCTCTCCTCCCGTTCCGCCATCATTGCAGACACACAGAAGTTCAACATCAAGATACCACTTGAGGGATCTCCCGTCACCAACCAAGCATCCTCAGGAAGATGTTGGCTCTTTGCATCTACAAACGTCTTTCGTGTCGCGATCATGAAGAAGTACAAGTTGTCGGAGTTCCAATTATCGCAAGCATACCTTTTCTACTGGGACAAGATCGAGAAGGCAAACTACTTCCTGGAGAGTATCCTTGATACTGCTTCCGAAGAGATCGATAGCCGTCTCATTCAAGCCCTGATGTCTGACCCAGTTGGCGATGGTGGACAATGGGGTACGTCGAACAGTAGGCAAAAAAGGCTACAGAACTGACTTTAGCATAGACATGGTGGTGAATCTCGTGGCCAAGTACGGTCTATGTCCGCACTCGTTATACCCCGATTCCTTCAACGCCACGAGTTCCTCGACCATGGACCGTCTGATAACGACCAAGTTGCGTGAAGACGCCGTCCGTCTACGCTCAGTCGCTTCCAGCTCGGCGCCAGCAGAATCTAAGAAAGCTACCATTGCCAACTTGAAAGAGAGCATGCTGAAGGAGATCCATCTCATACTAACACTGATGCTCGGTCCCCCACCACCACCCGACAAGGCCTTTACATGGGAATATTACGACAAGGATGGCACATTGTGCACAGTCCGCACCCGCCCTACTGCTTTCGCAAAGGAGCTTTCAGATAACAAGACTGCTCGCGCTCTCTCAGGCACAGATGTCAACCAGCTGTTCTCCCTTGTCAACGATCCGCGAAACCCATACAATCGCTTGCTCAGCGTGAAGCGTCTCGGCAATGTCTATGGCGGCCGCCCGGTCACCTACGTCAACGTCGACATGAAGACGATCAAAGAAGCGTGCATTGCCATGCTGAAGCGCGGCATCCCTGTCTTCTTCGGCTCGGATGTAGGTAAGTACTCTGATTCGAGCAAAGGTATCATGGACACTGCACTCTACGAGTACGAGCTAGGCTTCAACATCAAGTTGGGTTTGTCTAAAGCGGAGCGCCTGCAGACTGGTGAATCGCAGATGACGCATGCCATGGTCCTCACTGCTGTACATGTTGTTGACGGCAAGCCCGTGCGATGGCGCGTGGAGAACTCGTGGAGTGACCGTGTAGGTGACAAGGGATACTTCGTCATGAGTGATGCGTGGATGGATGAGTTTGTGTACCAAGCGGTTGTTGATCCGAGCGTTGTGAGTTCATCGGTCAGGAAGGTGTTGGAGCAGAAGCCAAAGTTGTTGGAGTTGTGGGATCCTATGGGCGCTTTGGCTTGATGGTCAGCGCTACATTTTCTCGATTATAATGATACCTGTGAATTATTATGTTTAGTTTCAGAGTTGTCTTTTTACAGACGCCGCGCTCATCCTTTCGTGAATGTCGAGAGGGGTGAGCAAAGTATGGAATTACATGCCTGCGGAGCCAAAATATCGAGCGACATGTGTTCAAAGATAGACATAGTCGTACAAGAACAGGCTCAGAGTGTGATTTCTCGTTCGTTTCCAGATCTCCATATGGCGACTGCGAGATCTAGTGATTCGTAGCTTTGCTCGTAGCATCCGAAGTGTAGGTGAACATAAAACGTTGCCGCGTATAAATTCTCAAACCAAACGTACACAAAGAGACTTAATGCATGGTTTATGGTAACATGAATTTCAAACGTCTTTCTGCGAGTTTTGGGGTGATGTGCTCATGATCAAACAAAGTCGTAAAGGCACGTGCATCGCAGCATTTACACTGCGCAACGCCTGTCCAGGCAGATGAATAACTTGTACACTACAAAGTTCAATTCAATCCTCTAGGGCCCAAAAAGTATTCCCGCAGTCTCACAGACTGCGTACCCTCGCTTAGCGCGGAAAGTCCACCACTGATCCCCACACCCATTTCCTTCACCCCAACACCATCCCATGGTCAGAAATGGAAATCTAAACGACAAAAAGAATGTTTCCGACACCGGGAATCGAACCCGGGCCTTGTCGGCGCTTGAGAGCGAACTACTCTGATGAGAGCGACAAATCCTAGCCACTGGTGGATGTTAGAAAGGTGAATTGAGAGTGTTGTCGTGGATGAACTGACCTAGACCATATCGGATGCTATTGCTTGATTGATGGAGGAGTGAGGATTAAAATGTATCATATAAAACATTACTGATGGCGTGGACGAGACTGATTTTTTTGTCCGACTCAGCCGATGGGCGGGGCAGCGGGCAGTGGATAATTGTGCGGCAGCGAACCACAGGAAACCACCGAACTCCAGGAATCGGACCTATAGAACGAGCACAAGCTATCACGAACGCAATTGCATTAATCCAGTTATTGTGCGATCGAATGTTGTTCAGTCAAAGTCAAGAAGATGCTGCCAACCATCACGTTTCCAGCAATCGATAGAGAGCCCAACGACACTACATATATTTCCAAATGGATTCAGATATACTTGCACAAGGACAATCAACAGCATGTCCATCTCTGATCACTTTACCTGATCCGACATGGTTGATTTCGCGCAACGATGACTCTAGCTCCACCGACATCGCCGGCGCGTCCCTGCCCCACCAAATAAAAGTTCCCCGCGACTCATCACGAACATGTTGTCATAACACCGACCAAACCTAACCACACCCACAACACCTTCACAATGCCTTCAAGAAAGTCCCCATTTGATCTGCAGACGTGCGCGCGACCCAATATCCTGGCATTGGAGCCGTACCGCTGCGCGCGCGAGTAGGTGAAGCACCTGAGTCGATTTGGCTGGGGGTTTGGCTAACTGTGCGCGACAGTGACTACAAAGACGATGGAACGAACATCCTACTTGATGCGAATGAGAATGCATATGGGCCGGGGCTAGCTCTCGATAGGGAGGGCAAGCTTGCGGGCGCAAGTGGCAACGGCACATCTGAGGGGATCGAGGTTGACTTGCTTGGGTTGAATCGCTACCCAGATCCGTACGTTGGGACCTATTTCTACGCCGATGGAATAGAGCTGATATGTGTCTTCTAGCCACCAGGAACCGCTCAAACAACAACTCTGCACACTCCGTAATACGCACCACCACACCCAGCTCACCCTCACGCCCGCAAACCTCTTTGTCGGCGTCGGCTCCGACGAAGCCATCGACGCCCTTATCCGTGCCTTCTGCGTCCCGGGGCGCGAAAAGATCCTCGTCTGCCCACCCACATATGGCATGTACAGCGTCTCCGCTCAAGTCAACGACGTATCGCTCGTAAAAGTCCCGCTGCAGGTTCCGAGCTTCGCTCTCGACGTGCCCGCCATCCTCGCCGCGCTGTCCGCAGACCCGACCATCAAGCTCGCATATCTCTGCAGCCCGGGAAATCCCACAGGGACATGCCTATCCAAAGCCGACGTGCAGCAGATCCTCGAGCATCCAAGCTGGAACGGCATCGTGGTAGTCGACGAAGCCTACATTGATTTTGCGCCCGCGGGCAGCAGCCTCGCAGAATGGGTCACCGAGTGGCCCAACCTCGTCGTCATGCAGACGCTGTCCAAAGCTTTTGGGCTCGCAGGCATACGTCTAGGCGCCGCATTTGCAGACCCCGCCGTCGCCCGCATCCTAAACAACATGAAGGCGCCGTATAACATCTCGAACCCGACGAGCCAGATTGCGCAGGCGGCACTGAGCGCGAAGCACCTGGGCGTCATGCGCGACAATGTGGACAGGATCGTGCAGCAGCGCGAGAGGCTGCTTGTCGAGCTGCCCCAGATCCCCGGCGTGGGCGCGCTCAGGGGCGGAACCGAGTCCAACTTTTTGCTGTATCAGATGCTCGATGCACCTGGCGGGCAGCCGTCGAACGAGGTCGCATTAGCAGTGTACGAGGGCCTAGCGGAGGAAAAGGGCGTGGTGGTGCGTTTCCGCGGCAAGGAGTTTGGCTGCGAGGGATGTTTGCGAATTACTGTCGGCACGGAAGAGGAGGTGACGAGGTTTCTGCAGGAGATGAGGACGGTGTTGGGGGCGATATATGCTGGGAAAGGCAAGGTGGGGAATGACGAGGAGGAGCGGAGAGAGAAGGAGGCGAATGCTGTTGTTTCGTGAGGTGGTGGCTGGATTGAGAGGGGATAGATGTAGATATAGAAGTGGAAACGAGACGGTAATGCCGAGATGTAGTTTTTGTATACTCCTGCAATATTGAGTACTGAATCTTCATGTCTGCCCTTCTTCCCACTAGTACGATCCATCGTCGTTTATAAATGATAACATAGTATAGAGATGTGCGTCTTCGTCATTGTGTCAACACACTATCTAGATTACGAGTGGAAGGCTGAAATTCAACGGGAAGACACACATCTGATCACCAACAAGGCAGCAGAGTGATTGTATTGCACCAGCATATTCCTTTTAACACATATTCATTCAAATGTTCTGATTCGTCATCTACCACCTCCACATGGAAGACTAATCATTTCCCCTCGCTATACAATACACCACCCCTAAACCACGCACCTAAGAAATTCGTTAAATGGCCGCTCAAACCACGCGGCCCGTCACCAGGACGCATCCCCGAAAAAAAAATAGAATATACAAAGAACCCCCCTCCCTAACCCACAACTCATAGAATCTAATAAGCATCCCCAAAAATCTCCTTGGGACTCTGCACCATATCCTCCTTAAGCGCCTGCAACCGCCTGCCCTCGACCTTCTCCACGCGCTTCCGCTCCTTGCGGCCCACCAGATGCGGCGTGACGGGCGTAATGGGCGTGAACGGCATGTACGGACTATATGGCGTAAAGGGCACGCCGGTCTTGGGGGTCATGGCGCTCAGCTTGTTGGCGTGGCGGTCTAGGACGGTGGTTTGGATGCCGGGGCTGCGGAGGGGTTCTGAGGCGAAGGCGCGCAGGGGGAGGGATTTGTGTACGGGGGAGGAGGCGGCGGGGGTGCGTTGGGGGGCGGGGAGGGGGAGGGGGTGGACGGTGTCGTATGCTTCGGAGGGGTCGTAAGGTGTTGTGGGGGAGTTTTGTTGTGTTGGTGGGGAGGGTGGTGCGCCGGGTTGGTAGAAGCGTGGGCTTAGAGGCGTGTGGGCTTCGTCGTCGGAGTCGACGCCTGGATATTTGTGGACTGGGCCTGAGATGCGCAGGTTTTTGAGGTTGAAGCGCGGGTTCTTGGAGCTGGTGGAGTTGGTTGCGGAGACCTGCGACCGCTTGGAGAGGACACTGCGCGGGCTGGAGGGGGGTTGTTGGGTGTCGCGCAGGCGATCGTGTGGCATGGGCGCGGTCATGGACCCGTTGTTGTATCCCGGTGGGTAGATGGCTTTGATCGGAGAGATTGGGTTCTCGTCGTTGTTGTGCGAGTGCGTGGTACTGATTGCTGATGGTCGCCTTCGGTCGCCGGTCCTTGGTCTTTGCTCCATTTCACTGACACTGACGGTGGGAGAATGCTTTGCCTCATCGTGGTCCATGACTGCAGCATACAAGCGCTCCATGTCAGCTTGCTGTTGCTTTGTGTGGTTGTCAATGACCTTCTGGTCGAAGGAGGTTGGTGAGCCAATGACTGGGCTCTGTGGAGTGCCAACAGCGGAGTCGCTCTTCTTGAATTTCCTCAGCCATGACGAGGCTGAGCGAGCTGACAGCGGAGGTGAAGCCAGTGGCGCCGTCCTAATTGACGGTTTCACAGGCTTGTGCTGAAGTTCCAGCTCCAGCGCCTTGGGAGGTTCGAGCGCCTTTCGTCGCATTCTTCTGCCGATGGTGAGGAGCAAGATTGCCCAGATAAGTACCGTGGCAAGATAGCCGCCGACGACTCCTGCGACGTCAAAGGGCAAACGATTCGGGTCTCGGGATGCGTGGTATGAAGCAGGAGGGCCGTCTTGAGGCGCCGGGGCAGAATCCTTGTAATTGTCCTTGAAGTCGTATGGGATTGCAGCGGCTTGTGAAACAACGAGAATCAACGACAGCAGAGAGTGCGGCAATGCCCGATGGAGCATGATTGAAGTAAGAAAAAGTGGTGGAGGAGGGTGGTTATTCAAACTCCCGACTGTCGATCCAGATCTGATGCAGGCCCAGAGTAGCCTTCACCCGACAGAAAGGAACCGGTTGAATTGGAGGGTGTAACAGCAGGCGCATGGTGATATGGAGACGGGCGGTTGGTAAGTATTTCTATCAGCGGTCTGCAAGTGGACGGACGAGGTAAACGAGTGAAAGCTGTCCAGGGCATACTGGAATCTGATTGGTGAGGCTGTTTTGCGAGCGACATGCGGGCGTCCAGTCGATGGGCTCCATCACGCGCTGAGGCGGGGATGCATCTATGCGTGCTAGGCCCAGAATGGGGCCGGACCAGGAGCATCCCTCGGAGACGACTTCTGCTGACACCGAGTCGTCGTCGTCGCGCTGCGCTGTGTTGGTGTTGCTGCGGTGCCGTTGCGCACTGGCTGTGTGTGCTCATTCAAGACCTGCCAAACGTCGTCGAGAGAAACATGTTTCGCCGGCCCGCAAGGCTCGAGCACGTCGCACCCAAAAATACCCACCGCATAGACGATCTGGCTGCCGATAAGAGGCACAGTGGCGGGAGGAGACGGTCCGCATGCATGAAAGCCTGCCCCTGTACCCCAAGAAATGCATCTGCATTTGCGCACTCTGATTCGCTGCAGATTGTTCCTCTAAGCGCCGCCTCGCTGCCCATCACTGAGCCGTCACTTCATCACACCAGCCACTCCACTGCCGTTGGTGTGTGACAGAAATGGGGCGGCCGGCTTAGAAAGCCTACTTGAGTCTCGCCTGGCCGTGTGCCAATATTCTACGCGATCTTCCCACGTTTATGCAATCTGCGCGTGCGATCACAGAGCCCGCAGCACTAGCGACCCATTCTCAGGCCGCATCAACGCCTCATCGCGTGATCGTGAACAGCATTGGTCGTCGCAGACGTCTTCACGAGGTGTGATATGTAGTAACCGTCGGAAGCGCTGATCCGACCGCGGCTGTTGGTCAGACTCAGGCAAATGCAGCATGAAGAAAAGGGACTGTCTAAAATAGACGTGACAAGGCGTAGATTTATTGTTCAGGTCGCATCAAGTCCGGGCTGCTATCACTTTGTTCATC